GTTCCCCTCTGTTGGCTCAGGTCGGCCTCTTTGGGCCCACTGCCCCTGGTCCAGCCCCGTGAGAGTAAAGACAGCAAGCCTCTCCCCATAAAGCCGTCCCTGTTCTTGAGCTGAGTCATCTGGCATCTTCCTTCCTTCTCCATTACCGCCCACCTCCCTCTGACCTCAGCTGAAATCCAGAGCTCTTCCTGGCTCAGTGTCCTCACTCCTGCTGGCCTGAAGCCTCTCGGTTTCCCTGCCTCTTCCCCAGGGTCACTCAGTGTGGTATTCTGCAGAAGCCCTTTTCCTTTCATGTAAAACGTATATTATAAAGAGCACCTTCCCATGCACCAAAGTGTTCTTAGGAATAAGTAAGTAGGCATTGCTAATGAAAATGACCTGACCGGGAACCTGGAAAAGTGAAAGCCTGGCCCATGCCCTCTACATAATGATAGCTTGCAGCCTTCACTGTTCCACTGGGGATAAAATTCTTCATAAAGCCAGTCTTTGACTGCCTTGCATTGGAATTCTGGTCATTGGGAGGCTGTTTCCTGCCACAGAGCCTGAAAAGAAGGGGCCGTTTTCTGTTACTAACCTTTTTAATCTTGAGTAAATAAAATCTGCATATGAATTTCAGCCCATGCTCCAAGGTCGTTAATGACTAACTGGGACTTCCCTTGTCCACCCAACTGGAGACTCTTACACTATTCATTTTCTTTCTTTGGTATATGTGATGGTGTTTGGGGTAGTTTTTTCTCTAGAGAAAAAAAAAAGAATCAGCCCAAAGAAATGACCTCTTTTTCTTTGCTAAAGGAAGTAGTTTTTTAGAGTGTTTGTTCAGTCGTTGGTGACAAAAAAAAGCACTGTGTGCTTTCTGTTTTCTCTCTAGGCTCCCATGCTTCATTAAAATGAACTGTCATTAAAAATGTTTTCATGTTGGAATTCATTAGAGTGGCTTGCCTCAAATGACAGCCTGAGCAGCTGCTCTATGTATAATACACACTCCCAAAACCTGCCCTGGAAATAGAAGGTGACCAGCTGAGGCAACCTTGTGTGTGCTGCATGGAGGAATTTTGACATGATTAGTGAAGGTCCCCACAGTGACAAGGTGGAGTGCATTCAGTAGTGTGATTCAAATGAAGCCAGTTTAATCAGTAAGCATTAATTAAGTGCCTGCTGTGTGCTAGGGTTTAGGGATACAAATTAAATAATTGAAGTAATCCTCACAAAGTGCTTACATTCTAACAAGGAAGGCAACAAGGAAGCCCTCAGTACAAAGTGGGTAAACACAAGAGACTTTGAGAGGGAAGTCACCAGCAGTTGGGGGATCGCAGAAGGCAAAGGTGAAGCTTCAGCTGGGCCTTGAAGGAAGAAAGTTACTCTCTGCAGCAGGAATGGGTAGAAAGTGTATTCTGCAGGGAGAGGGAAGGAGGGGAAGAAAAAAAAAAGAAATTTACATAACTTTATATATTTAAAAGGAATTGCAAGTTGTACATAAGAGATTTGCAGTTTCATGTGTAGTCACCTTTTTAAAAATTATACCATGTTATTATGGAAATGCTTGTTTTATCCCATAAACTAAAAAGAAAAGAAAAGAATGAAAATTAGTTGGGAAATGTTTAACAAAATAAGTAAAAAATATAATACAGCATTTTTTGAAACATGTGCTCTGCGCCTGGGGTCATCAATGCAAGAGGATAGAGGTAGAAGATGGAACAAATACAAGTGGGCCAGTGTGTCCACACTGCGGAGTGCAGGACTTGGGGTAACGTCCAGTGAGGCCAGAGAGTGTCTGGCCAGGCTGTGGATGGCTTTAAAAGCTGAACAGAGAACTCTGTTTGATTCTGGAGACAACATTGGAGCTAGCCAAGTAGGGAAGTCACGTGGTCGGAGCTGCACTTGCGGAAAACCACTGGGGGTAGTGGTGAAGATGGACTGGTGTGGGCACAGTCTCAAGGCAGGAGGCCATGGCTGTGGTCTAAGGGAGAGGCGACGAGCACCTGAACTAAGTGGAGAGAAGGGGTCAGACACAGGAGATGTTGCAGAGGCAGAAATGTCAAGATTTGGTAACTAACTAGACTTTGGGGATGAAGGAGAGTGAGGAATGAGGGTCACACCAAGGTGGCAGCCCGGGGAGCCTGGAATGAGGGGGTTGCCTTGGAGAGGAGGGAAGGAAGGGAATAGAAGTTCAGTTTGAGATGCCTCTGGGACAGCCAGTCTGGGGTGACCTAAAGGTGACATAAGACTGAAGGCCATTTTAACCCGAGGAATGGACATCACCTTTCTGATGAGAATGTAGGGAATTGTGGTTTTGCTCAGACAGTATTTAACGCCCAGTACAATATAGTAACATGGAATGGGGGTCCTCCTTGAAGCCAGAAAACTGTGGATGCAAATCTTGCCTCTGACACATACTAGCTGTGTGATCCTGAGCAAGTCACTTCACCTCTGAAGGTTCCAGGCAGCTCTTTAAGACTACAGATCTCAGAGAGGGGACCAACCTGCATTGGTGAAAGGAATTTACTCCCCTGAGAGTTCCGTTTGGACCAGTGGTATCCCAGATCCGATCCCTGTGCCTATAATCAGAAAAACCCTTGTGGCTCTCTGAGATATACAAAGAACTTTCCTCAGCCCAGTACTGTCTAGAAAGTAAAGCCATGGCAGAGGAGGAGAAGCTTAATGCCACAGGTCCATCTTCAGATGGGAAACAGCCAAATGTAAATCAGTTCATTTTAATTCAGTCTCCTCACCCTGCTCCCCATGCTGTGTGGGGCAGTGCTGAAAACAGTGTCAAGAGGGAGCAGACCCAGACTTTTAAGTGATTTCTTTCATTGCGTGTGGGTGTGGAGTATTCTTCAGTCTAGAGATTGCACCTGTTTTCAGCTTTTTGGGGCACCCACTATATATCAAACACGCTGCTAGCTGTTGGGGATATAAATATCCAAATGGTGACATGTACATAGAAAAGTGTGGTTCAGGTTCAAGGTTGACAGAGCCAGTGAGAAAGCTAGAAAAGGGCCCCAGGAAAACGTGAGAAGTCAGAACCATGTTTTCCTCAGGGAATCCTAGGTCTGTGGGCTGAGCCTCACTAAAGGGTTGTAAGGTGAAGGACAGCCAGGATGAGGAGTGGGGGTGGGGCTAGGGAGGAGAGGCTCAGAGTCAGGAAGGTGGGGGAGTGGTGGCCGAGTTCAGAAGTCAGCTGGGGGTTTGGCTGAGTGGTCTAAGAGTGGACAGAAGGGACCTTGAATGACAAAGGAGCTTCTCTTTTATCTTAGAGGCACTGGGAGCCCCTGAATGTTTTTGAGAAAGGAAGTGACATGGTCTGTCTTTGTCTTAGGAAGATCATTTTGGTAGCCGTATGGAATCCAAAGAGATTGAAAGGAAGGACACCAGTCTGGTGAGAGATGCTAAGAGCAGAGTGGGAAGAGAGGATGAAACATGAGAAAAGCAGAAGTGTTGGAGTGTGTCTGAGCCCTTCTCACTGCCCTAGTTAAAGAGTGTTTGAAGGAATCCTTAGTGTAGCCATGCAGAAACCTATTGTGCTTAGGACCAATTGATCCTCCCTGGTAGAGAACAGCTAAGGGCAGATCCTTGGGAAAGTGCATCAGGGACAGGGCCGTCAGAGCATGCGAGGGAGTCACGGCATCACCAGCTGGCTGCAAACAGAGACTGGGCATCTGCTGCCATCATTCCTATTTGTGGGCTGCTTCAAGATGTACCAAGTAGTTTCCTCAAACTGCCCTGCAAAGGTAATATTATCGCATTGTACAGAGCAGAAACTGAGGCTCAGTGGAGGTCAGTGATCTCTCAGTCTGTGTTCACTCAGCAGCCTGGACTAGAGCCCCTAGGGCAGTGGCCTGGCCTACGTGCCCCAGGCTGTGTACCCTGGTCTGTGCTTGGCGCCGGGGCAGGGAGGTCACAAGTAAAAGGAGATGTTGGTAGCACCAAGAGTGGTAGGAAAAGGAGCTCTGTGGAGAAGGCAGCCTTGGGACAAGGGCCATGTCAGATGTATGAGTCTCCCCCTGGGATGTGAGCCCTTCATACATGCCTAGAGCTGTTGGGCATTGCCAGCATTGGGGTCACAGCCGGAGGAGTGAGAGGGCAGGTGGCAAGTGAAGGCCGTTTGGTATAGCTGTAATGGTCCAGAGAGCTCCCATTGATCTAACCCTTTGAGGTCGTCCTTCATGGTGACACAACATTCTAGGCAGCCAAAAACTCAGAACAGTGATGTGGCGAGGTTTGGCCGTCATGACCACCTGCATCTACCCTGCAGCCCACAGCCGCTCTTGACCAGTGGTCACTGGCCTGAGCGCCTCTTCTCAGCACGTTTTCCTCACTCCTGGAGGTCTGCAGCCAAAAATTAGCCCCTCACCGCTGACCCAACACCAAGGCCTTCGGGGGCTTCGTGACCTCCGAGGGCCAAACTTGCTCCCAGAGGGGGTTGCTCGGTACCGCGCATGACCGCCCCCCTCTGCCCGAGAGTGTGGCCATGTAACTTTGGCCATTTCGGGTTTTGTCACTTACTCCCCAGAGGCTGCCGGGACACCAGCCCCAAACCCCCTGCCTTCTGCCCCGACCTCACCCCCGGCATGACAAGTTCTCTTTCACAGGAATCCCAAACCCTCCAGACTCTTCCCAGAACAGGGACACAAATAAAATCGTGTCCACTTAATAGCCAGAGAAGTGGAAGCACATAGACGGTAAGTGGCTGGTTCTCAGAGGCTGTGACTTCCCTTCGTCCTGACGATGGCAGTCTAGTCCTCAGTGGCTCAGCAGCTTGCTTTTGGTGGACAGGAGCGGTCTTGGCCTGCCCACTGCTCTTACCGCAGAACACTCTTGCACACGTCGGTTCAGTGGCGTGTATGAATGGTGGCTTTCTGTGATGGTTTCCAAGAGAAAGTGATTCCAAATCTCTCCCCTAACTGCACCCCCTGGGAACTTGGAGTAACAGTCTAATTTGGCTAGAGTTGTTCTCTTCTTGGAGTGTTGATGTATCATTAACTCCCTCTCTTGCTCTGCAGGAGGACTTCCGGAATAAAGTTGAAGATTACATTAAACGTTATGCCAGATGATGAAGGATGGCAGGACCATAGTTTTGCACCTCCAAGTTGTATCTGTCACTTAAAAAAAAGAAAGAAAAAACAAATATTCCGCATCCTCCTTCCCCACCCCTTCCAACTCCCCATCCGCCCCACTGGCTTGTACACGTCCCGTGACCGTGTTGTACTGAAGAAGAAAACCTTCCCAACTGTCCATTTTACATGGAGAACTCGCATAAATACAGCAAGAACTTGTGTGTATTTGGTTTAAAAAAGTTGTTTGCTTTAAAATGTTTACTTTGCTGAACCTGTCCTGTATAGCCTATTGATGATATTCTTGAGAAATTTAAAGAGGTCATTAGCGAGCTAGAGCTTGCCTCACCTTTGTGACGGCCACGCTGGGGGCGCTTCTCTGCTCTGCCTGCGCTGATGCCGCGCTTACTGTCCCCACGCCCTGGAGGGCTCCCACGGCCTGCCTGTGGACTCCTGCACGGTGTGTGCCCGAGGGCCAAGGATCGCTTGTGCGCCATCTCCTCGTGGAATGTTGATGCTGTTTAATGTAAGTATATTTTGGAACAGATTTGTAATTTATACATTGGCTGCCTTGATTCCTTTTTTCTTCCTTTCCCATTCTAATTTGCATTTTCGTGATAGAGGCAAAGGGATCTGTTAAGGATAAAAGCTTAGCATGTGAGTAAATGGGAGAACCTTAGGATCTTCTCATTGAAAAGGAAGCCCCCCAAAAATCTAACTTTAAAGGAATCAAGAGTCCTTTCCCTCCAGGTCTAGTTATGGCCAGAACATTCTGGACCTCATGGAGAGCACTGTCCCTCAGCAGCCTTGAGCTCTGTGTTTAGGTGCTGACCCCATGGCCCGAGCAGGGTGATTTTACTGGAGTCAGCCCACAGCCCTAGAAGGGCTCTGCCCAGGTGAGCTGGGGTGTGTGCCAGGCCTCCCAAAGGGGCAGGACTTCATGGGGGCCGCTAACCCCAAGTGCTGGGAGCCACGGTCATTTGGATTTATCCATCTCAGTGGGAGAGCACAGGCCAGGCACCAAGGGGTTGTCCAGCTTTTACCATTGGCTCCACCTCAGGTGGGGTCCTCCCCAGTTTCACCATGAGGAATCACCTCCAGCTCTCTACCTGTCCTGTGCCAGCTGCCACCTTTTAATTTTCCATTCCTGGTTCAGATGCTCTGTCTTAGATTGGAGTTTTGTTCTTTTATCTGTATTGTCTCTGCCCACTCTGACAGACTTGTGATGTCCAGTTGAATGGCAGGCTAATGGGTCGTGCTTCTGGGGTCCCTGCAGCTTCTCTCAGCTTTTGGCGATAGGGATGGCAGAGCTGCCCCTGGCTCTCAGTACTGTTCATTCAGGCCAGGGAGGCTCTGAGAGGGAAGGTTGCCCCTACCCCCTGCCCATGGCATCAGGGATGGCAGCAGCAATGCTGATCCCCCCCCCCCACACACACACACACACACACATATGTGAAAGGTGTTTCTCTGGTTTAGCTCAATCCAAAAGCTGCACTTTGACCTCCAGCCTTTTAGGTCAAGACTTTGCTCAGGGGTAGAAAAGAAGACGCCTTCCCTCTGTCACTGTTGAAGCACTTTTTTTTTTAAATAGACCACTTGGTGGGTCAGTGAATCCAGGAATCCAATGGTCCAGGCCCACTCCCCAAGGTCTAGCACTCTCTAGCAACTGGACTGTGGGCCCGACTCCAGGACCTCCCAGTTCCAACCAGCTCTTCTGGAGTGCTTGGGATTTGTGTAGGAAACACAAATGTGGCCTCCTGGGCCAGGGGGCCACTGCCCAGAGTTCGAATGGCAACGTTGGTTTGCTCCAGAGAAACAGCCTGTGACCTGGGAAACAAGACAAGGGGCAGCAGTCGGGTCTCGTGTCCATTATTAGCTATCCGCGTCCTCTCATTTAATGAAGAGGTTCCCAAGTGACGTTCCAGAGAAGCCGCACTGGCTCCTTGAAATGTAGGCCCACTTCCCTACATCTTAAGCAGGCCTGAACTCGAACTCAGAACATCCTTGCCCAGGTGTCGTCTGTGGTGCCGGCTGGCCTGTGTAGCGATTACTGGTGCTTCCCCTTCCCACCTTCCTGACTTCCTTCCTCTCTGGCTCACAGCACACACCTCTGCTGCTGTCACCCCGTCAGTCCATGAGGATTTATTGAGCACCCCACAGGGCCAGGTCCGGCACTGGGAATAAATCCAGGCGCTCACTTGGGGTTACATGCTCATTAAGGACACAGCAAGTACATACAGAAACACATGCCGTGTAAATAGAACAGTAAGGAACATAGATTATACAAAGTGGCTTAGTACAAGATGGTTTGGGAGAGCGGGTCCCAGCAGCTGGGGGACCAGGAAAGGCTTCGTGCAGAAGACGGTGCCTCAGCTGCATTTTAATGGGAGCGAGGGACAGGAGGGCATTCCAGGCATGGGGAGTGGTGAGGAAAAAAGCACGTAGAAAGGAAGCGGGTGAAATGTGAGGAGCAGAAGCCCAGTTGGGCCAGATCACAGGACTTGGGAGGGAGAGCAGTGTCCAGTGAGCCTGAAAGATTGGTTAGGGCTAGGCTGTGTAGGAATTGAAAAACTCAGCAAATTCATATTTTATCCTAGAGGCAGTCATAAGCTCCTGGCATTTATTGATCAGGAGGATCCTGTGGTCAGACCTATGCAGTGTGCAGGATGGATGGAGGGTGGGGATAGCAAGGAGGAGGCTGCAGCCAGGGCCTGATTTGTAATGGGAGTAAAGAGAAGGGGGCAGATGCCAAAGGCCGTGTGAGAGCAGACAGCTGAATGGCCATGTGGACTTGGTGGGGGGAAGGCGTGAGGTGGTCAGGGTGGCACCAAAATTACAAGCCAGGAGACTTGATGGACGTTGGTGCCTAAGACAGAAAGAGGGAAGGGTTTAGGGAGAAAATGGATGAAGAGTTCAACTGTAGATAGGTTGAATTGCCGATGGCTCCAGAGCATCCAGTGTGGAATGTCTATCAGTGATTCAGCAGTGAGGTTTGGGGAGGGGCTGGAGCTGGATGGGTGGGTAGATTTTGTGACTTGGGTGCTGTAGAGGTGAGAGAAAAAGAGAGAAAATGGAAAGAGGGAAAAGAGAAAGGCTTGGGCAGAACGTTGGAGGAGACCCACAGTTAGGGAACATGATGGAATGAAGAGACTGAGGAGTGATCTGACAGCTGGGAGGGAGATGAACCGGGAGAAAGGAAAGACATCAAAACCCAGAGAGTTGCCGGATGACAGTCTAGGTGGAAATGATTCCCAAATGTCCTGTCAGGAAATAGCAGTGTCTACCTCCTGCCTTACCTCAGACAAACCACATTCCCTCCATCAGCCAGTAAACGCTGAGCATCTACTGTGTGGGCCAAGGACCGGAGGGAGAAAAAGAGGCAAGACAGTCCCTACCCTCGAGGAGCAGGAGTCTGATGGGGGAGATGGTGAGCAAACATGTACAGACTAGCTACAGGCAGGATAAATGGGAAATGATTGAGAGAGGGTTGGGAGAGCTCCTTGTACAAGGTGGATTAGGCTTGGATCCTTCCCCCTCGCCGCGGTGAGCCACGTGCAGAAATGGGCCGGAAGCATCATGCCCACCCAGCACTTCACCAGGAGCCGAGAAGACAGATTCAAAAGCAAAACTGTCCATTTCCTCAAAGAACATATACTTGGGGCCTCTGTATCTCGGTTTAATTGGTTTCCATTGTAACCCCGGGTATTTTATTTTATGCACATACAAAAGAGGTCCCAGGAGGCTGGAGCCGAATTTCAAGGAAGACCATGACCCTGGGAGGCAGAGGGAGGGAGACTAGTTCAGGCATTTGGGACATCCTCTAGATTTCCCTCCATGTGCCACACATGTTCCCAAGCTGGCCTGGGACCAAGACTGACCCCTGCAATACATCCCTAATGTCTGCAGGCTTTTGCCTGGCTGCCCCCCAACCCCCTGTGTGCACTCTGTCCTCCTACACCCCCAGAAATCTCTGATTCCTTCAGGATTCAGCTCATGTACCACTGTCCACGTTATTCCTTTTACATTACAAGTCAAGTTAACACATCAACAAACATTTATGAAGTACCTACTGTTTACCAGGTACTAGGATACAAAGAAAGGCAAAAAACAGCCTTTGATCTCAAAGAGCTCACAGTCTAATGGGGGAAACAGCATGCAAACGACTGTGTGCAAACAAGCTGTAATAATCGGAGATGATCTAGAAATACCTTGTATGTGTTTGGGGGCAACTGGTTATGTGTTGTATATGTTATGGTGCAATGGATGGAGTGCCAGGCTTGGGGTCAGGGAAGACCCGAGTTCAAATCTGGCCTCAGAGGCTTCCTAGCTGGGTGAAGCTGGACTGAGGGTGGGAAGTCCAGTGTGAGAAGACGGAAAAGGCAGGAGAAGCCGAGTCCAGAAGAGTGAAATACCACCGACCCCAGAGAGAGCAAGCACTTTGTGATCCTGGGTTCTGCCATAAGTTTGTGGAGAATCTGTGCCTCGGACTCATTTTGGCAGCTGGATGGATCATGGACTCGGGCGGGGAGAAAGTTGGAACAGAAGAGCAGTTGGAAACCTAGGAAAAGCAATAGTCCAGTGTGACGGGTGGGGAGCCCGGGCGTCTTGTCTGAGGAACAGCTGGGGGCCGCGTCCCTGGACCACAGAGGATGTGCCAGGGCATCGAGTGTAAGATGGCTGGAAAGGGGGGAGGGGGCAGGTCACCAAGGGCTTTAAACGTCTCCTGTTTGAGCCTGGAGATAGATGATAGGGAGCCATTGGAGTTTACTGATTAGGGGGATGTGGTGTGGAGGTGAGGGTTTCAGCAACACCTCCCTAAATCCTGGTCTTTTCTTTTGGTCCATGCTGGAAGGTGCTGATAGCTGGGGAGAATGAGGTCTTCGTACAGTCCCTTTTGGGTGAAAAATCTCTACTGTAGTTCTGCTGTTGGAGTTACATTTACATTTTTTCTGCTTTTAAGAGCATCCTTTATATAGTTTTCACTGTTTCTTAATTTAATTTTGAGTCTAGAGAGTGTCAGAGTAAATATAATTTCTTTTAATTCTCTTTCCTGACTGACCCACCCAGATTAGATCTTGCAAATCACAAATTTTACATTCTTTTTATGTTTGGATTCAGTATCCCTCCTTCTTTCCATTATTGCTACTTCTCAGTCCTGCACTTCTTTGTCAAATCATGTTCCAAACCATAACTAGTGCCTGTTTAATCCACTGAATCTCTCCTTTGCCAGTTAGCACACTTTTCTCACATAGCAAGATTCATCGCAAAGTTTTG